TAAGAGTACGTGTTAAAATAATTTGACAGCTATGGTCCATAGCTCGTCGTTTTCATTGTGTTCGGGCTATTAATGTTGTGGCACAAAAGGGATCCCTACAGTTTTATGTCGACTTTGAACGGCGATTTTGTTTTAATGGGAAGCTGTTTTTCATTTTCAAGTTTTGAGCACTTGTAATCATTACTCCACAGCGGCCTATATACGAGACCTATATTCATATAAATTTTTTGGATTTTGGTATCGATATTTGGAATATCGAGTCTTTTTATTCCGATATTAATAGGTACCCGATATTTTTAAAGCGATATTTTAAATGAGTACCATATCGATACTTTCTGTTCGATATCGTGTCCCTAATTGAGACGATCGCCCAGAGGAGTACGCGCTTTTATAGGCGAAAGATCAGCTAATGTGGAACACTAATTGCAAAAGTTGTGGATATTTAAGTTACATAGTGGATCGTAAGCTGTGGACTACAATTTAAACAGTGTGGCCAGATACGTTTAGTGGCTAATATATAAAAATACAAATGTATTGTTGGTTAGAACTTAAAAAAAGATCCTCGCAACGTGCTTATCTTAATATATAAAAATCCCGTGTCACTGTGTTCGTTTACACTAATCTCCGAAACCGCTTAACCGATTTCAATGAAATTTTAATGAAAAGATATGATAGTTTTGAACCCGAGAAAAAATAGATTGTGTGCTATCAACCTCACAGTCCTAGGCAAGTTTTGAAAGAATATTTTCGATACTAAATCTTATTAAAACAAAATGTCGAAATCAGCTTCATATAGTTAGAAACAGTTTCATCGTTAATTCTTTATGTTCTTAAATATCATAACTTCACGACACTCATATATTGACTAGAGTTGACTATTTATTTTATTATTTTTTAATTCTAATTATTTGTTTATTAAATATAGTTAATTCCTTAACAAAAACTGTATGAAAATAAGTTTAAATCTTTGAACAACATTAAAAAAATCGGCAAACTTTCGTAAAAATTTCGAGCTTTCTATTTCAATTTTAGTATAATAAAGGGCAAGTTTAAAGCAGCTGGAATTTGCCGGCAATGTCATATTATCTAAACGCGATTTTTTTTTTTAACGAAGAAAATGAGCAACACCTTTATCAAAAGAAAAATATATATATTAAAAATCAACGCTAAGTCGCAGCTATTTTAAACTTGCACTTCATTTAAATTGATCGGACTACAAACGGCATTCTCAAAACATGTATTTCTAGGAAATCGAGTTAAAAGCCCGAAATTTTTACGAAAGTTTGTTGATTTTTTTAATGTTGCGCAAAAATTGAACCTTGGGGTTTTAGTAAAGTATAAACTGCATTTTTATAAACAAGTAATTGGTTGGTTGGTTGCAGTGCTTCCTAGTCGCTGCCCAGGATACAAGTAGCGCATTATTGCGCCATTTTGATGCACTTCTCGCGGGGGATAAATATCTTGTCTGTGCACTTCCTATGTTGCTAGGTCGAACCATTTCGACTCTCTAATGAATCTGCCGATTTCGCTAATGGTAGCTCCTGATAGGTCGGTTAGTTCAGCTATTAGATGTTTCCCTAACGTCTTGTGTCTAATGTTCGAAAGGCCTGGACATTCACACAGGTAATGCTGGACACTTTCTTCGCTATCTTCTAGTTGACAGCTGCGGCAAATCATATTATGGGGTAGACCTATTTTTGCCGCATGTTTGCCTATGGGCCAGTGGCCTGTTATGGTTGCTAAAATTCTAAATACCTCTGGCCTTGATCTGCTAAGCAGGTCCAAGGTTTTCGACCTGTTATAGTCAGGCCATAGTTTTCTCGCTATCCTACAAGTCTGTATATCTGACCACCTGCGTCTAGCCAGTTCAAGGAAATGCGTAGTAATCTCTCTTTGGACTACTCCAAGAGGGCAACCCAGTGCCACTGCCTGGGATTCATCCAAACCGGCTCCTGCCTTCGCCAACTCATCCGCCTTCTCATTGCCTTCTATGTTCCTATGTCCGGGAACCCAGACAAGAGAGACGGTATTTAACTGAGACACTGAGCACAATATTACCTTGCATTCCCCAACTAGCTTGGATTTGGTAACCGGTGACGCTATTGCCAATAGCGCCGCCTGGCTGTCAGAGTATATTGTTGCTTTACTGCTGTGTCCAACCCTATTGCCTAGGATTTTGCAGGCTTCTAGGATCCCTAGGACTTCCGCTTGGAAGATGCTTGTATTATTTCCCAACCGCAGAGACAGAGCCACGCCTAGTTCCTTGGAGTAGACACCTGCCCCCACACCGCAATCCATCTTGGATCCATCGGTGTATAGAGAGATCTCTTCTCGGTCGGCCACTCGGTCTCTTCTCCAGTCCCTTCTGGATGGGAATAGCACTTGCGCGTTACAGCTGAAGTCCAAATTGCCTACCATATAATCTGTCGTCCTATTTAGTTGCATTTGATTTATGATCAACCCATGTCCGAAGTGTCTAGTCCTCCAAAGGCCTGACTCTCTGAGTCTGACCGCCGATTTCATAGCCACTTCTTTCAGGTGGAGATCAATAGGAATTAAATTGAGGATGGCGTTTAAAGCTTCTGCCGGGCAGGATCTTAGTGCGCCTGTTACTCCTGCGCTTGCTGCCCTTTGTATGCTTCTTAGCTTGCTGACATTATATTGTCTGCTTAGGCCAGGCCACCAAACCAAGGCGCCGTATGTTAGAACTGGTCTTATGATCGCGGTATACATCCACATCACAAGTTTAGGATTTAGTCCCCAGTTTCTACTGAAGATTCTCTTGCAAGTGTAGTATGCTATGTAGGCCTTCTGTCTACGGAATTCGATATTGGTTTTCCAGTTAAGTTTGTTATCCAGCACGACTCCAAGATACTTTGCGCTGGGGGACAATGAGAGCGCATTGCCGTCTAGCGATGGTAGCTTGAATTGTGGTAGTTTGTGTCTGTTTGTAAATAGGATAAGTTCTGTCTTCGCTGGGTTCACATTTAGGCCGCTTCTCGTAGCCCAAGCGTGTAGTCTTCCCAGGGTTCCTTCAAGGATTTCGCTAACGGTAGAGAGGAATGGACCTGTGGCTGCTGTTACAACATCATCCGCATACGCCACAACTTTGACTCCCCCTCTATTGAGTTCTAGCAATATACCGTTCAGGGCTATCACCCATAGCAGTGGTGAGAGCACTCCGCCCTGTGGAGTGCCCCTGTTCACATGATGTGTAATAGAGCTAGCCCCATTTGTTGCCTGAATGATTCTATTGACTAGCATCGATCGTATCCATCTACAAACACTGTCGTCAACACCAATATCTATCAAAGAGTCTATGATGGTGTCAACCTCAATGTTATTAAATGCGCCCTCGATGTCAAGAAATGCCGCCAGAGTATATTGTTTAAAGTGCAACGATCTTTCTATTAAGCTCACCACTTCATGCAAAGCAGATTCAGTGAATCTGCCTTTGATGTATGCATGTTGTGCTGTTGAGAGTGTCGCTTCACCTAACAGCGATCGTATATAAATGTCGAGAAGCCTTTCCATTGTTTTAAGCACAAAGGAGGTAAGGCTTAGGGGTCTAAAATCTTTTGCTGTTTCGTGGTTTTTCCTTCCTGGCTTGGGTATGAACACGACTTTTACCCTTCTCCAGCTTTTAGGAATGTAGCACAAGGTAATGGTAGCCTTAAAAATAGTCACGAGTAACGGTGCTATCTCTCCCTTCACCCTCTGGAGCATTGCTGGGATTACGCCATCTGGTCCAGGGGATTTGAAGGGAGAGAAGCTGTTAATAGCGTAAATAATCTTTTCCCTGCTCACGATCGAGTTCAACAGTATACTGCTAGTTGAACCAGGTTCAATTGACCCTGATGTGGGTGGATGTCGAATACATCCTGGGAAATGGAACTTGACTAACGTGTTTAGAGAATCGCTAGCTGTGTTCGTCCACACCCCGTTTTCTCCCTTAATGAGTGTGATATTTGTGTGTTCTTTTGATAGGATTTTGCTGAGCCTGCCTGAGTCTTTAGAGTTCTCTATAGAAGAGCAGTAAGATTGCCAGGATTTAGTTTTAGATTTCCTCAACTCCTTTTTATAAGATCTGACGGCGCTTTTATAAGGCGCCCAGTTTTTAGTTCTAAAGCAATCATTGTAGATTTTCCTTAATTTGTCTCTTTGGGCTCTGAGATCCCCATTCCACCAGGGTGGGGATTTCTTTCTTGCTGTACTAACTGGAGTTGATCTTTCAAAGGCTTTCTTCATAACCTCTTCTAGTTTATTTACTCTATTATCAAGGTCCTCAACTGTAGTGACAGTTGTATTTAGTGGGAGCTTACTTAGTTTATGCTTAATTGTGTTACTATATCTTTCCCAATTAGTCCTGTGGGGGTTTCTGTATTTTGAGGGGGTGCTGGAAATTCCGTGCAGATTAAAGAGGATCAGACGGTGATCAGACATTGAAGGCCTATCAGATACTCTCCACTCTTCTACAGACACGCTGTCGTTCTCTGATAACAGGGTCAGATCCAGCACCTCCTCCCATCCAGGAAACCGGTTTGAACTCGGGAATATGAATGTGGGTGTATTACCTCTATTGCAGATGCTTAAGTTAGTATTTAATAAGAAGTGTAGTAAAGACTCACCTCGGTCGTTCTCCGTAGAACTACCCCAAACTGGATGCCTTGCATTCGCATCGCAGCCGACGACTATAATTTGTCTGGGGTTTTTGGCTATTATCTCCTGGATTTCGGTTGGCGGACTGTCCCTATCGTGGGCCATGTATGATGAGACCAGGAGTATACTTGGCTGTCCGGTGGTCTCCACCTTAACCATTGTTGTATCTGATGTGCTGAAATTAGAATGCATGAATGCATTTATACCGTTCTTGATAAGAATACACGCCCGCGGTTTACCCACCTCGCTCTTATAGTAGAGTTTATAATTATTTATATTTAGTCCCATGATTGTATCGTGCTTGACCCAGGGCTCTTGAATTAGGCTAATGTCTATATCCTCCTCACTGAGAAGGACAACTAGATTATCTGTAGCACATTTGGAGTGCTGCAGATTTATTTGGGCTACTTTAAGTTTCTGGTTCAGGGTCATCTGTCAGCTTCACACCCATGAGAAGCTCACCAGCTCCATCAACCCCGGGATCTTCTTCTACCGGGCTAACCTCTCCGAGGAATACCCGCACTCTAGCCTTACGGATACCGAAGCAGAGCCGATAGTCAGCCTTCTCTAAGGCGTCTAGTGACTCTGCACAAATAGCTAGTAGAATGGGCTTATTTGTAGGCCTTCTTGGCTCTTCAACTTTTATAAGTTCCCATTCCTCGATCGCCGGTATGTCTTTGTTATGTAGCTTAAGAAACCGCAGCAACTTTTCGCCTGGTTCATCCATCGGAGGCAGCCAAATGCGCGCACGTGGTCTCCTTGGGATGTCCTTAGCTGGGATCAGCTTGAGCTTCAAGCCGACAAAAGTGTCGCTGATCTTAGCGACGCATCCAGCAAGGAAATCCAGGGAGAACTGGTTCGCGCACTTGACTACCCGGTATCCCCGTAGGGATTCCGACGAGTCGAACTCTGGGTGAAGACCTTCGGGGTTGTCGAGTACGTGGTTCATTACGAGGCTCGACAGCCTCACATCAATCTCCACCCATTTTTGCTGCACTGCTAGCGGTGTCTTGCTGTTTTCATCTATTATCGCCGCCTGTAGATGATCTCTAGCGACGTCACTAAAATAGCGATGCTTCGCGGGTGCTGCGGACTCCGCATCACCACCTTGCTTAGCCTTCTTTGCGATGGCCCCTTGGCCGCCTTCGTTATGAGAGCGGTTCCGCTTCTTCGCTTCGGTGGCCTCGATTGTGGCTGCACGATTTGTCTGTAACTTTTCGTACTCTTCCACTATTTGCCTGTATTTTGCCTTGTCTTCCTCGTCACGCTCATGTACCGTACCGGCCGCTGCATTTTTGTCAATTTTATTTAACATATACAGCGCCTTCTGGTACATCTGTCTCATGACCACGCCCGAGGGTTTTCTTTTCTTAGAGGCGGGGTTGCTGCCTGCAACGGCCGCCGATTTGCTGGTTGTTGGCTGCTCGTCCGGAGTACTACGGCAGGCACTACCGGTGCTATTTTTGACTATTTGCAGAGTGGTGATACTTTGTCTGGCATCTTCCACCCTGCTGGTTTCTGGCGCTTGTACAACTGGGGTACTATGGCTGGCGCCACCAGGAGTACTTGCAACCATCTTACCTGACCTTGGGGATTTGAGGAGCTGCTCCTCCTCTGACAGCGTTACGTCGTCCCCTTCTTCGCTGGTACGCTGTTCCTGTTGCTGTTGTTGGTTTGTTTGTTGTTGTTGTTTGTTTGTTTTTGTTCCATATGTGGTCCCACGAATAGTCCGGAAAGGGTTAGTCACTCGTCCGCAGAGCCGGTATGCATAGAGAAGGCACTTCTTACAACCGACCTTGCCCGGGCATCGGAGGGGACCGTACGCGTCCAGCCATTTTTTACTACCCGCTGGACAAGTAATTAAAATTAAATAATTTTAAGATAAATGGCCAATCTTGTCAATATGTGAGTGTCGTAAAGTTTTGATAAGCACTTGAAATACTAAAAATAAAATGTCAAACTTTAGTACTGAATTCAAAGAAGATGTCTCCTTTATCCATGCATAATAACTAAAAAAAATTTGTTTATTAAGAAGTGTACCTTAAAATATGTGCATACACATTTATGTTCAAAGTGTAAAACGTACCTACATAAACTTTCCCATGAATACCATCAAATCATTGATCTTGAAGGGAATCTATGTATGCATGTACTAATATATGAGCAAATTAAAAGTCGATGCAATTTACAGTCGAAAAGTATAGTTTTTGTATAGATTTCGTACTGAAGGAACAATTTCATTTCCCAACACTGTGCGAAATGCGGGCGCCACCATAAACAAGTGTGAGCTAAAAGTGCGAGCGTGTTAGTGTGCCTTCGCATGCTGTCGCTTTCTCGTCGTTTGTACATGTTTTGTTGCTATAACCCTGTGGGAAAATCTCTAGTTCTGAACTGGTGCGCTTCTAGTACATTTAGACCCAGTACTGGTTCGCGATAAATCTCTTTTGCATGCAAGCAACTGGCGAATTTAACATGGCGATGTCCTAGGAAGTGTCAATTGCCCCCCGCTGCATCCCTTTTTCGATAGTTCTGAACTAGTCCTAAATTCTATAGTTCCGAACCAGTTCTAAAATCGACAGACGAAAGAAAAAAGGATCATGATTTTTCAATCTTTTTGGTTCTTCCGTGTGTGCGATTTTAAGTTATTTTGGAAGAAATGTGTTTTCAATTTGAAATTAAATTTGTTTGAATGATTGTAAGAAATGTACGTTTACATACCTTTAGCTGTAGCTGAGTTTGCAGAGGTGCTCGCTGTTATTTCTTAGATTCCAGACGGTCCCAAGATGTTGAAATGTTAACACAAATTTTAGTTTTGTATTACCAAGCTATGAAAAAGCATCTGCGAAGCACAGAATAGAAGCGTATATGAACGAAAAAGCCGCTGAACACATATCTATGTAAAGTAAACAAGCCCCCCGCTGCATCCCTTATTCGATGGTTCCGAACTAGTTCAAAATTCGACAAATAAGATCTAGTTCGTTCTTTTTTTCTATAGTTCCGAACCAGTTCTAAATTCGTCACTTTAGATATAGATTTCTAGTGAATAAACTGAAAAAAATTAGTACCACTTTTAGCCGATTTTGTACTGGTGGGGATCTAGTTCCTATCGGACTAGTTCCTTTTTGACGACAAAGACCTAGTACGGAACTAGAAATTTGATTCGCTAGACCGCGGTTTCCCTGCAGGGAAACGACGAAAATCACTAAATTCACTAAAATCACTCAACTGAACTATTGGTGCTTCTTAGTGCTCCTACTCATTTCGGTATAACTAATTTGTTTAATGGCTCAATGAGAGAATTGAGCACTACACCAATTCCTATCAACAGAGAACTTAGTCATTGTACATGCTCTCGCTTTGTGTGCCGAGCGTAAAATAGAGTTAGTGCATATGTGTGAATATTCTGCAATGAATAATATCCACTAACACTATTTCTTGTGTTATTCAACCAATTACTTAAAAACGCGAATAATTGCAGTTCCCTGATGTGTATACAAAATTAATTCCATACTCATGGAGAAAAATTTGCGTTATTCGAAAAGGGGACATGGTTCCTCCCGTACAAATTTACTGTTTTATACTGCTTATCTCTAGAGGTGTTCATGGTAGAGTACTGGGACTTGGTACTGGGGTATGTAAAATCAATTATAAATTCATGGAAGAAGATTAGGGTTATAAGAAAAAGGGGCGTGGCACTTCCAGTACAAATTTACTTTTTCTTGCCACATATCCCTGGAAGTGTTTGTGGAAGAATACTAGCACTTGGTATGGAGTTGTGTATACAAAATGTATCAATTTCTCATGGAAAAAATGTGAGTTATTAAAAAAGGAGGCATGTCGCCTCCCATACATATTAAAACTTCTTAATATATAATAAGTATTTTAAATTTGTTATGGAGATTTATTTTATAAGTGCCGTACTGACAGAATAAATTTCATTAAATGGAAAAGGGAGCCGGGTTCGGCCTTATAATCTAAAGCTCCCTTGAGGCATTTGCTACAGTAATGAGAAGTAGGGACACGAATTTCGATACGATACGATACCATATCGATACTTTTGGCATTCGATACCGATATTTTCTACTCGTTAGTTTTAAAACGATATTTTTTGGAATCGAGTACCAGAACCCTAGTATCGTATCGAATGTAATAAACTCACTGTTGTGCATAGTCTTTTAGTTTTCTACTAACTTTTTGCAGCCCTGTAATGTTGTACTGAACATTGAATTGTTTTACCTTTTGCAACGCTGTAATGACAACTGAGAATTGTATTTTTGCTACGGGCCACAGCTTCCAATTTGTTATCTTCATTGTCTAAACGCTTTGTCGATGGCGACATAATTTTTTTGAATGCTTCGGTGACATCATGAATTTTTACGAGTTTGACATAAAAGAAGAGGAAGAACCTAATCTGTCGCTGGAAAAATAGAAATAGATCTAATCTGGCCACAACCACAAAATAATTATCTACATAAGAGTACGTGTTAAAATAATTTGACAGCTATGGTCCATAGCTCGT